AAGTTTTTTAAAATATCAGTTTTCTAAATTAATTACCTGTTTCAGACTATGAGGAATTATTTTAGGTAGCTTTTTATGAAACACTGGAGGGCACTGTTATAATATTCCCTATCAAGGAAATGGATGTGATGAATTTGACAGGGTTGTTTGTGGAGTTTTGAATAGATGTTGGGTTCATCTTGTGATGATCTACTGGGACTTAGATTCCTCCAGCTGACTCTGGATATTGTTATATTTCTACTAGTATTGGTCAAAATGTTCATCAGGAAGACCCTGTGAACACATGCCAGTCAGGAACTACCAGATCACAAAGAATGAGCCTTAATGGGTCAAGTAATTTTCTGTGTTGTCCTGCAAAGCTCTGGTGTGAGAGCCTGTATGTGGTATACCTGTAAACTTCTAACGTCAGGATCATGAACATTCGGCAGTAACAGGCACAGATGGCTAGTGCCATCTTTTGGATGTGGAGAGTTCAAAAGTCAGTCAAACAAGACTTACGTTACCCATAGCTCAGCCCTGGTACTGCATTTTCCTGCTGTGGATTAGTTCCATGGGATGTCTGGATTTTTACAATTCTGTATGTAACCTGAGGGCCTGCTTGTTGGGGTTTCTGTCATGCCCAGTTCCCACAGTCGGTAAATCCCAAAGAGAATACACAGAAGTCTACATTAATCATAAACTGATTGGCCCATCAGCTCAGGCTTCTTATTAACTGTTATAACTTACAGTTAGCCCATTATTCTAGTATATCTTAGCCACATGGCTCAGTACCTTTTGGGGTGGGGTAGTTTACATCTTCCTTCTTCATAGTCTGGCCAGGACTGTGGAAAGACCTTCCTTCTTCCCAGAATACTCCTGTTCTCATTTCCCTGCCTCTACTTCCTGTCTGGTTGTCCCGCCTATACTTCCTGCCTGACTAATGGCCAATCAGCATTTATTTAAAACATAATTGACAGAATACAGAATTGTCCTGCACCATTTGTAACATAGTTTGGATTTGCTACCATCTCTCTCCCAGTCTGTTACCCATCTTGACCAGTTGCTTAGACCTTTGTGATCCTCAAGGCCTTCATTGCTATGAGGGAAAGTACTAGTACAAACAATTGGATATTTTCTTCCTTTTCTTTTTCTTTTGAACAGTTTTTATGTGCATATTTAATTTCTTTTTGAAAATGACTTCTGATTTTGGTAAAATATATTTTACCAAAAAATTGAAAAGGTTTACCAATTTAACCATTTTAAAATGCTTATTTCTTTGGCATTCATTACATTAATTTAATGTATTCAACCCTGGCTTCTTTTCAAATAGAGTTTCTCCTGCAACCGACATGCAGGATTCTTCTATTTGTATATGATACGTAACCAATAATTTAGCAGCTTCAGAAAGAATGGGTGCCACCTCACTGTTGACAGTTGTCTGTCTACTAAAGAGCTGCATTTCCTTATAGAGCTTGGGTTCACTTGAGTGTACTCACTGGAAGGAATCAGCTGTTAGCACTATAGGACTGATAGCCCTACTTTCCTGCTGGCCATAGCAAGGAACTGATCTTAGCTTCGAAAGGATCCTTGTAGTGACCTCCAAAGGCTCTCGGTGTCTCTGCTGAGCATGTCAGTTCTACCCAGGATCCTCTCCTTTTGATTCACTTGGTCAATGATTACAGCTGCAGAATCCTTTCACCTTTGCTTTTTCAGGAGAATCCCCTCCTACTTAGAGTTTCTTCTCATATGTGAGAGCAAAGACATTTCCCAAGCACTGGGGTTAGATTCTGCTTCTGGCACATGTTTGTTTTTGAAGTGTGCATCTGACTGAGAAGATGGGGGCCGAATTTTCTTTGTTGCCTGCCCATAGTTTCTTATAAATCATTACTATGCTACTTGTCTTGAAAAATGGTAGCCAGTCTATTGAAGAAAACGCTGGGACTTAAAGCTTTGTCCCCTTGCCACTACTGTCCACTCTGACTCTTGCAATCTTCGTATGTTCACTTGTTGTAAAGGGAGTGCACGTTCCACAGCTTTGCACCTTGCTCCCAGGTTATTGCTGCAGGCTGCTCTAATTTCCATTTGCCACATGGAAAGATGTCAGGTATTGGGAGGCGTGCAGACATCGCAGAAATACGAGTGTGAGCCCTTTGGAATTTTATTGAACTTCAATTGATTTATAGATTCTGGATTCTATCCTGTATTTTATATAGTTTTTCCTTTGTTTTGTTTACCTCTCAGCAGTGTAAACTGCAGAGAGGTAATGGTCGAGGATCAAAGGGTTAGGATTTTGTAGGTGACAGCTCCCATGTGGGGCCTGTCATGGTGTGTTGGTTATATGGTTGTAGTGAGGAGTCCCTAGAAGGAAGGGGTACTAGAGAAGCTAGATGACATTTGACTGGTCAGCTGCCTGGAGATGTTTGGACAGCCCAAAGGATTTTTGTTGTTGTTCTTGTTTTGGTGGTATTCTGTTTTTCAGATAGGGCCGAAAAACCACCCTGGCTGGCCTGGAACTCACAGAAGTCATCTGCTTCTGCCTCTCTAGCTCTGGGCTTAAAGGTGTGTGACACCTTTAATTAACTGCATGCAGCTCCATGCAGAATTGGCCCAGCAACTGTGAGTCTCTTTTCTCATAGTATGCTTCTGGTAGTGAGGCCCTCAGCCTCTACTGACCAGACAGGAACCCCTCAGAACTCCCTTCTTTCCTGCTCTTGCCTTCTCTCTGCAGTTTTGATATTTCTGGGTCTGGTGCTGTGCTGGATTCCACTTCACTGAACGTCTGACCTGACAGGCAGATTGTAAAGAGGCTTCTTAAAAGCTTTTCTCTGCAGAGGAAACCTTATGGCCCTTGAAGGAGCCACTGCGGAAACTTCTGCCTCTGGATTGTGTCCACAGTGACTGGTTTTCCATTTCTCTTTTCTCCCGCAGTTATGCAGCCTGCTTCAGAGAACAGAGACTCATGGTGTCTCAGCTCTGTGTGTAGCTTCTCTCATGTGATCTGAGATACAAAGTGAGTTTGGGAGCTGCCTGGCTGACTCCTCCCCAACTCCTACATGACTTTTCATGAACTGTGACAATACAGTAGCCACCAACTATACACAGATACAAAAATCAAAATATGAATGAATTGAAGACTCAGGTCTCGGAAACCTGGTCATGTTTATATTGCTCAACAGCTGCACGTGTACTACCATTACCATGGCTTTAGTGTCTGCTTCTCGGAGTATTTAAGCTGAATTGACAAAGGTGAGACTTGTCTGCTATGAGGCCTTTGGCAGTTGGGTCAAACTTACAATTCTGCTTCCTGTAGCAATAACCTTCCCCTAAGAACAATTTGATGGTGGTCTAGAGAAGACAAACTAGTCCTAGGAGAGCTCCTTCAAGTTGTGTAAATTCTGTGCCCTACTTTCTAACTGCTGCTGTGGTGAATTGTCACTTACTTAGCTTAAACTGCACAAATTTATTATTCCACTGTTGCCTAAATTAGATGTCTGTCTGTCCCAGGTCTTTCCAGGTAAAGTTGGGGTGTGGTCTGGGTTGGTTTGCCTTGTGAAAGCTCAACAACAGAGTCTGTGTGTTTTGCTTATTCAGGTATTGACAGAATTAAGCCCTTTGGGGCTGTAGGTTTTCATCCTTACTTTTCATGGCTGTCAGCCAAGAACCATGACTTTTCCCAGCATTGAACCCCTTGCACAAAGTCCCCACTCTCCATTTCCAGCTCCTGGGCAAGGCAGGCTGCACCGCTCTCATGGTTCAGATGCTGCTGTAGCTTCGGTCACATCTCTCTGAAGCCAGAGAAGATTCTCCACTTAGAAGTTCACCAATTAAATTGGACCTGGTTGATAATCTAGCTCCATCTCTCTATTTCAGGACAGTTCCTCTAATGGCATCTGGGCAGTCACTCTTGCCTTATAAGGTGGCAGAGTAAGGCATGCATATGTACACACGTGTTGTGTTAAGAGCGGAGCTGCGGGCTGCGTTCCTGCCACAGTGGCTCATGGCTGCCTGGCTAGCTTATGCCCCGAAATAATTACATGGAAACTGTATTCTTTTAAACACTGCTTGGCCCATTAGTTCTAGCCTCTTATTGACTAGCTCTTACATATTGATCTAACCCATTTCTAATAATCTGTGTAGCCCACGAGGTGGCTTACCAGGGAAGATCTTAACCTGCGTCTGTCTGGAGTGGGAGAATCATGGCGACTCACTGACTCAGCTTCTTTCTCCCAGCATTTTGTTCTGTGTCTACTCCGCCTATCTAAATTCTACCCTATCAGAGGGCCAAGCAGTTTTCTTTATTAGTTAACCAATGAAAGCAACAGATAAGATACAAGACCTACCTCCATCACACATGTGCTTTCATGTTAGTTCTTTTGTTTGTTACTAAGCAAAAAATTTTGAAACCGTACCTTATTTGAAGTGGGTAATCAAAACCCTGACATCTTTATGTAAATATTATTAATTTACCTTCTGAGACTGTACATCAGGGGAAACTAGGGATCATAAAAATGAATGAGAGAAATGAGGAAATAGGGGTTGGCATGGTACAGTAAAACGTGTGACTCTCATAGTCCCAACTCAGAGTATTGTCAGGACACCTCTGAGTTGATTATGTGTATTTCATAGAATAAAATGAGAGAACTTGTATAAAAGTGATGTTTTAGTTTTGAAGATAAACGCTGAAATGTGTGAAGATTAACACTGCATGAAGTTATCAGCTGTAGGTACTTTCTGTGATGTGTTCAGCAGCTTCTCTACTTATTTTACAACAGGTTGCTAGTTCTTCATTTTAAAGGTGCTTCAGTAAAATCTTTTTTATGTTTTGCCTATTCATATATACATTATAGATTTCAATGGTTATTCAAAGTATTCTCTGTAAAATACTTCGATATTTAATTGAATGCTAGACTATCTCATGTACAGCAGAGGTGCTACTCCTATTGCATGAGAAATGATAGTATAACTTTTGAGAATTAACTTGGACTTATTTTTTTATCTTTCATTTTTTTTTATGTCATTAGCTGAGAAACCTTTCCAGTTTGGATCTCCGTCATATCACTGAACTGGACAATGAAACTGTGATGGAAATCGTCAAGAGGTGCAAAAATCTTAGCTCTCTGAACCTCTGTCTGAACTGGATCATAAATGACAGGTAACTATTGGAACATCTAGACATGTGTCCAGAGGAAAGCCAGGCAGATACGCTTATCACTGTAACAAGACATGGCAGTATCATGTATAGCGGCATGCAGCTATGTCTCTGAAAATCTAGACGCACACTTTGATGCATTCGCTGCTTTAAGTGCAGCCAGGTTTTTATGTGCTTCAGCACTGGCATGTTTGGACAGATACAAAAGCGGTTGTGTTAACTTGTTTTTGTTATTCATGAAGCATATATGGTTTGTCTTTTTTAAGGTCTTGAGAGTTTTGTGTTGTTTGTTATGGTTTGTTTACCTTACCCATGATTCTGAGGAATTACCTCAAACATTTGAGCATTTGACCTTTTCTTAATGATGATTGCATTTCGTACAACTTGGATTTTTTCCTTCCTTCTTTCCTTCTTTTCTTTCTTTCTGGGTTTTCTTTGTTTTCTTTTGTTTGTTTGTTTCTTTTTTCTAGACAGGGTTTCTCTCTGTTTATAATCTTTGCTGTCCTGGAACTCAATTTGTAGTTGAAACAAGCCTCAAACTCACAGAGATCCCTCTGCCTCCCGAGTGCTGGGATTAAAGGTGCATTCTACTATCGCCTGGCTTACAATTTACATTTCTTATAAATGTAAGTTGTTTTAAACTGAATCAGGTGATTAGCAATTTAATATATAATTTACAATGTGTAAAATGGAGAATCTCTTCTTTTAAATAACTGTAAGCCCATTTTTCTCGTAAAATATCACATTGATAAAGCATACCTCTTGCAAGTAGACTTTGATAATGCAGACACGTGTGTGATGGCCCCACCCATGCTGAGGAGGTAGGCATTTGAGTATAGTCATGAAACTGGAGCCTGGTCCCACCACCCACCTGCTTTTCAAAACAGGTGGAATTTTGTTGTCGTTGTTTTGTTTTTGTTTTGTTGTTATTTGAGACATAAATCTTTGTGTAGCAAGATAGGCCATTACAGAAAATTTGCTTTCTGAATAAAACATTCTGTTCCATCTAAAATTAGTGACTATTTTTATAGAAATGTTTTACAAGTTGGAGAAATAAAGTCTCATTTAATCTAATAATGCTTTTAAATTAAGACTTTTCTGTAGTTGGTTTTTCTTTACTCTTTTGGCTCTTTGCTTTTTGGGGACCCCGTACCCAGTTCCCAAATAATCACACGGAATCTTATTAAAAAGCCCAGTCTTAACTTGACTTATTTCTAGCCAGTTTTCCTTGATTTATCCTATCTACTTTTTCCTTCTGGGCTTTTACCTTTTTTATTTCTGTATTTCTTACTCTACTTCCTACTCTGTGGCTTACTTTTGTAGTTGGGTGACTGGTCGCAGGAGCCTTCCTTTCTTTCTCCTCTTTTTTTGCTCCTAGATCTTCTCCCAGATTTCTCCTCTAATATATTCTCTCTGCCTGTCAACCCTGCCTCTTTTCTCCTGACTTGTTATTGGCCATTAAGCTCTTTATTAGATCAGTCAGTTGTTCTAGATGGGCAAAGTAACACAGCTTCCAAGAGTTAAACAAATGCAACATAAAAAAATGCAACATGTTTTTGCATCATTAAACAAATGTTCCACAGCATAAAAAATATAACACAGGTTAAAATAATATTCTAAAATGCTCTCTATCCTCTTATTTTTTAGTTTCTTTTTATCCTTTAAAATAAAGTGATATAGATATCATTTTCCCAATTATAGCAAGTTATAATAATTTTAGATTGCCCTAAATTATTCTTTTACGTTATATAATAGTCTCCATGTGATTTTTAATAAAATTTTTGTAGTAAATTTCTTTCATTTATTTGTTAGTTAAAAGTTTTTACTGATACATAAAAGTTACAATTAAATATATTTATTAGGTCTTCTGTAAAGCTTTAATGTATATTTAAATGATGTGATGTTTAAATAAGGGTAAGTAAATCTGTCTCCTAAAGCATTTATCATTTTTTTGAAAAAGGCAAAACTGCAACAGCCACACTGTATTCTTCTTGTCTTTTAAAAATACCACAGTACATTATTGCTGTCTACCATCAGAGCCTTGAGCCTCTGACTTTTGTGTAATTTATGGCCAGCTACTTTGGTCCTCTTAATTCCTAGAAGGCAAGATTTTGCATTTTCCTCTAAGGATGGAGAGCATGCAACTCTTGTCTTTCTTGCTTGGCTTACTTTACTTAACATGATAGCCAGTTCTATCCATGTTGTTCTATGACAGGATTTCAAAGGCAAAGTGAGGTTCATTCCAGTTCCTTTTCTATGAGAGGTCACTAACCCAGGCCATTATGCTGATTAGTAGTCTATCACTGACCAATATCCCCAGCGCTTTTTGCGGGCAATATGGGGTGGGGCAAGGGAGTGATTAGTATATCATTGTAAAAATGTACTGTTCTTTAAAAGCTTAAAGATTTTTTTCTATTAATGGGTTGACGGATACAGAGATTGCTTCCTTTCTTGAATATAACAAACATGTTGAGCGCAGTGTGCTTTTCTTTCCTGGTTTCATTGGACAAGTGTCCAGCAGTGCATCACGGGAGCCTGTGGTCGCCCCATTTGTAGGCTCGTCAGGAGCACCATACTGCTTGCCCTAATTGCTGTAATTATATTTCCACTAACCATGCATGGAGAGCCTACGTCTTGTGTGATTTTGCCAGAGATTATCTTTTCACTTTCTTTTTTCTTAGTCGTCCTTCTTACTAAGTGGGTAACATAGGGGGTTATTTTGCTTCCCACTGAAGAACTCCCAGTCCTGCTCACTACAAAGACAACAGGCATAGCTCACGAAGTCTAGTTCTGTCTGAGACTGACAATTAGTGAGGCTTAACCTTTGTGTGTCTATAAAAAGGTCTGTTGCCCATTTTTAAAACCAGGCTATTTGGGTTTGTTGTTGAGTTCCATGTACTTGGGTTCCTTCCCTGTTGTGACATACAGTTTCTGAGTGCTTTCTCCGAGTCTGAGTTGTGACATACAGTTTCTGAGTGCTCTCTCCGAGTCGATGGATTTCTTTTCACTCTGACGTTTCCTTTGCTGTGTGGAACGCTTCAGTTTGATGTCATCTTCTTGGTCACTCTTTGCTTGTGTTTCCTGTACAAACACCTTCCTAGTACAACATCATATAGCCCCTTTCCATTTTCTTATTGCTGTTTCACAGGTTTGGTTTTTTTTTTTTCTTTTACATCTTTACGTAGTCAAATTTCTCCTAAAATGTACTGATTTTTTTTTCAAATTTTCTTTAAAAATCTAATGCCCTTTTAAAGAATTATAAAGAGTCAAAAATTTTAAATGTATTTGTTGTTTCTGATAATATTTACTTTACAAAGTAGGCTAAATAGTTAAAGAAAATTGAGTGATATCAATATAAAAGTTAAGTGTCTCCATTATCAATATTCTAATTTGCAGACAATTTAATAACAACATACTCTAATAACTTTTCATGACAAGTAATAAAATAAAATATATAAACATCTTGTGTTTCTATCTGTTTAATATTTAGAGAAGTTTCTTAGCAATATATTGAAGTAAAAGAAAGAGCAGTCATTCTTCAGCAATGTGATTATTCCACAGTTTTCTGTACACGTGACCGAGGCGTCATATAAATCAAGAGAACCAGTAATCAGAGAATGCTGTAACTCATAAATATTATGAAATCTGTCAATTCATAGCAATTATCTGCTAAGTGAACACTTTACATAGGTTTGCTCAGGGATCTTAATCTTCTAGGTCTTCAAACACTTTGCCCAAACTGGGGACTTATATGGAAAAATAAGCAGCCTTTAATTTGCTTTTTCTTCCTTTGTCAGGCTTTATGGGCACAACTTCTTGCTCCCTCTCTCTCTCTCTCTCTTTTTTTTTTGTACTTATCTGTAATGGTTATTTAGTGTTTGATTCTAAATATAATAAGTACCATGGAGATTTATTTCCAAGGAATGAAAGTGTATTTTTATGTTTTTAATGGAAAAGTTTGGATTAATTGAGAAAACATGCATTTTAATGAGCCGAGCAGTAGAGTTATAAGGATCAGACTCTTTTAGTTTTAATTACACTACTTGCACTTATCCTGTGTACTGTAATAGAAGTTTCAGACATTAAAACCCACTTTGCAATATCATCTAAATTACTCATCTCATTGTTCTTGCCATACTGTATTACTAAGCTAAGTAATATTTGTAATTATATTGGTATAAATCTAGGACGTGCCATCAGACTTAATTATGATCGCAGCACTTAGCTGAGATGGGGTAGTAACCTTTCATAGAGAGAGCACTGGAAGGCACTAATGCATTTAGCCTATCAATTAGCTTCTGTTTTACATTTCTTCACCCTTACTATACTTTAGTAAATCAGGAAGCAGTGCTAAGTACTTGGTGCTGTGTCTCAAAAAATGGGGCACTGAGCTTGTTCTGCTGTAAGGGTCATCCATCTCTTTAGGCGATATAAGACTTCACATTAATAATGGGTTCGATAAGGATAGAGTGGAGGAATGTAACTTTTATTGCACAGGTAATTGATAGATTTTTACACGCATTCTCATTTAAGCCTTTCAACATCTTTCATTCAAGGAAAGGCCAAATTACTCCTATTAAATTTAGATCATTTGTTTGATTTTTTTTTGATTTTTTAGATTAATGTGTTTTCTATAATTGTTACTACGAAAACTGACAAACAAGAAAATGTTAATGAATTATCCATTAGTTTTCTATTTCATAGATGGAACTAATCCATTATTAATATATGGAAAATTCTTATATTTATGTTTTTGGTAGGAACTCATTATTTTCTTTGTTTTAGAACAGTGATTCTCAAACTGTGAGTCATTATCCATTTGGGGACCACATATCAGTTATCCTGAATATCAAATATTCACAATTCATAACAGTAAATTGCAGTTATCAAGTAACAACAAAATAATGCAATGATTGGGGTCACTATAGCTTGAAGAGCTGTATTAAAAAGGGCTATAGCATTAGGAAGGTTGAGAACCACTGCTCTAGAGCTTAGATATTATT